ACTTAATTTCTTTATGTCAGTGTGGAATAACTCAGTACTCACCTCATTAATAAGTCAGTGAGGCGTGCTTCACAGCTCAAAAAATAAAACTGAGGAAGCAACGTTTGGGTCTAATTCAGAGTAATATGGCCTCCAAGAGATTGTTGTTTCATTTAAACAAACAATCTTCTTTTAAACATTCAATTTCCTCTTTTTATCACAATCAGGTATGTCCTAAATCCATCAGGGAATACTAATGAGAAAGTATGTGAGAAGCTTCGACTAGGATTCCACTGGAGAGACCATTTAGTACCGTGGTTATGCACACTTCGGAGCCGTCCACTGTAAATAAGTATCCAGCCTCTGCCTTAAATACCTATGGGTGGGATACCCACATCTCCCACTGAACAATACACCATTGTACCTACAGATGGAAGAAAGTTGTTATGTCGACTCAGAAATATTCTTCCCTCTTCTTAGACCCATTTCTTCTCTGAAGCCACATCAGGAACTGCGATATCTCTTCCATATCAGACACCTTTATATATTTGAAGGTTGCAATTAAGGAAATAAATAAAAAGGCCATTTAAATGAGAATAAGCAGACGTTATTTATTCGGCGCTTCCTATAGCAAGGCAGTCACCCCCCCATCACTCGCATTTGCCAGAGACACAAGGCAGGTAGGAAAGTGGGGAAGCTTTATAATGAAAAAATTAATCAGGAGGGAAGAGGCTTGAGGTGTGTTCTGATTGGAAGTTGACATGGGAGGCTGGGGGAGGCTTTGGGAGCACGTTTGGTCTCCTCTGGTTGGCTCTGATTTGGAAATCAGGGTAAAGGAGGGAAACTGGCCTATATTCACCAAATACTGAATGTTTTGGGCCAACTGTTGCAGAGACTGTGGTTTGGCCTCCCTGGTTAATTCCAGCAGAGGTTGTAGGTCACTGTTCTAATACCATACGTGACCTAACTATTCGGTATTTGTATATTCAATTTCTCAGTTCCCTCTTTTGGTTCTTCTCTTACTTGCAGGAAATTGGCCGAAAGGTAAGATTAAAGATCCAGATCTTTACTGCTTAATGAGTGTTCACTTTTCTCCATAGTCAATGGTATTTAGCACAAGAGCTTCTTCACTTTTTTGATGCTGTATTATCATAGCGAGCACCCGGTGAGGCAGTGCTGTACAGAACTTTTGAAGACCTGTATTAGCACTAAGATTAAGGTTAAGATGATAAAATTCAGTAGACTGACGTCATGACCACTATGGTAAAAACACACACAATTAAAAGTCCATTTAAGATGCTTCAGAACCAAAAATCTGAAATGTTCAACCAAGGCCAAGAAAACAATCCCACAGGTCATAAGGCTTAATCTTAGGAAAACCAGGTAGCTTTTTTCTTAAGGTGATATATAACTTTTATACCACACCTGTTTTGTTGAGTTGAATTATAGCAAGAAGTATTAGCAATGGCACAGATACTACCATGACTAGTGAACATGAAATCTAGATTGTTCATCTCTGCTCTTGCCCAGGAATTGAGTGATCTGTATTTCATCTAGGGGACAGGTGATATCATTTATAACTTCTGTCAGAGTTAAAATGATACATGTCTTAGAGTCTTGTGTTTGTATGATTTCTATTATTAGAAACACTTCTTTGATTGTTTGCATAAACAATGAATCAATAACTCTCCCAGGTAAAGTGCCTAAATAATCAAGGTAGTCTCATTTGGAGCTCCCATCTGAATTATAATTTCCAATTTGATGATTTATAGAATTAGGGTGTCTGTATACAGATAATTTCTTAACAGTATTTCAAAAAGTGCATGAGCTATTAGTGTGAGGGAAGGAAACCCAGCTATCCTGGCTGCAAATGCAATGGTATCTGGTGGGAATGCACAGGTACCCAGGTGAAAAGCAATGGCTCATGACACTATGTTGGAACCAAGACCTTACATTAGCTGGATAATCTGAGATTGGTGTTAGAGTGATTATGCCCCAATCTAGCAATTTTATAAGAACAGAACAGAAGAGGGAAAAAGGGCCATCGCAGTGGACAACAGTCAGCAGTCTACAGAAAATGAGCATAATGATTATAAGTAATCAGTGGGGGTAAGTAATTAGTAGGGGTTTTGATCCAACATCTTGGGCAGGAGCTGTCCACTCTCTGAGGTCATCAGATTATGCTGAAGAATCCTGTTTGAGGTCCCCTGTTATAGTAGCCTTTTTGTTTTCTTGATTCTAGATTGCATCTTTAGTTGTGAAATGTGACGTGCAGGGATTTACTCTAGAATGTTTTACTTCGGTATTTGTTGTTACTAGTATTTAATAAAATCCCTTTCATGAGGTTCAAGAGCAGTCTTTCTCAGACGTATCTTCTAACAGACAGCATCTCGTAGTTGCAAATCATGAAGAGGCTGCTAAAGATATTTGAAGTGTGACCCTAACCTTTTGGTGGCAGGACTGGGTGTGGCACACGGGTATGTCACAATGTTTTCCAGTGTCTGAGTACAGAGGGTAAAGTACTGTAGTAAAATCCTGAAGCACGCTGACCTTCCAGTCACTGGTTCATAGAGAAGTAAACAGTGTGTCCCCAAGGCAGTGGGACTACCTTTGCCTATGGGAGCTCAGGTATTTCTGGAAGTTTTGTTAAATTCACTTAAGGATATTATTGTTTCCACCTTTCCAGAAGTTCGTAGGTGGTAAGAGCATCATGGTTTCAGGTTTCTGAGTAAAGAGTTCTTTTTTATGTTCCTTGTGAAGTGTGTGTCTTGTGTTCTTGATGTAAAAGTCTGTATTCCCAAAATTGAAAACCAAGAATCAGACAGCTTTTTAGCAACTATAAATACTGTAGCTTTTTGCCAAAGAGATGTTTCAACCCATCCTGAAAGTAGACATATAATAACTAAAACATTAAAATCTTATGGAGTGTGGGAGCTGTGTCAAATTCATCTGGTATTCAAAGGGCCCTTGAAGCTTTGGTCACATCCCACCTTGAAGCTTTGGTTCCTGGCCACATCCCACCTTTTAGCTTTTCTAGAATTATGTCACTGATAAGGGACACATGACTTTAAATTGACCTCCACTGTCTTTGAAAGTTTCCCTAGCCATGTTGATTTCACACAGTAACCAATTCATCTATGCTATGATGAGTAGTTTCATAAAGAAATTTAGCTACTCTCTACTTGAAACCATCTAAATGTTGATATTCATAGTAGTTTCTTATCCTTTAAGACTTAACATAGCATGACAATATTGGTTAAGGCTGCTTGTTTAGTAAAATAATGTACTAAAGTATTTTCTTTATCTTCATTATTACTAAATGTTTCATGAGCTCCAACTTTTATAATAGCTACATCTTTATGAAGAAGGAGTGTAGTTAAACTTCTCTTAAACAGCTTACTCACTTTTGATAGGGTTTTCAGCAGAGTCGAGAACACCTTTATTTCCAAAGCATCCCAAACTCATATCTTAAAAAAAAAGCATTCCTGTATATATGATTATTCTGTGGTCATTGGCTAATTGACAAGCTCAGGTAAGTGCTATAATACAAAGGGTTGTATTCTAAAGACAAGCGTTAAGTTAGTGATAGCATATTCCAGTATAGTTTCAAGATTTGATGTGTGATCTATCAAAAAATAATAGTGTGTCAAGTTTTCAATGGGAGTTCTTAAAAAACTGAGTGAGGTAGGCAAGTCCCCTAACTGGTGTAAGAAAATTGTGAGGTTCCCTTCTTCTGGTAGGATCAGGGTGTTGCGGTGGCGAAGAGTGATGTGAGAGGGGAGGTAACTCAGTCTCATGAGAAGATAATTAGCTGAGAAGCGCTGGATGTTCTCAGGCAACAGTAATGTTTGGATTGCATGGGTGTCCAGGAGACCAAGAGTGGAACATCTAACTAGTTAAGAAGAGTTTTGAGGTGGCAGCTCTTTCCCTAACACAAGGGAATAAGCCTTTGCAGCCTGGTCAAGGGGTTGAGTTTTTGATGACTCCCAGGAAGTTGAGTTAAATCCCTAAGGCCCTGACCAGATGGCTCATATAGATGAGAAGAGTTTTAGTCGGGGATGCATGTGGAAGGGTTCTGTTGACAGTCCTTTTGCAGATTACAGAAGGTCAGTTTGTGACTTAGAGTTGTCGCAGTCATTGTCACAGTCTCAGGAAATTTGACACTTGCTGTTTACAGTATTCAGTTAGGAACAGAAATCCTCTCAGTTGTTTTGTGAGAGATCTAAGGTGTTTGCGTCATCTATAGCCTTATTGAGCCATTGTCCTCCTCATATCAGTTATAAACTCAGAAATAGATTATGTTTTGACAAAGTTATAAGTTATCTTTTGAAATTTTATGTGCCTTTTTTACTAAGTCTAGGAGTAAGTAAATGGAATGCCTTTTATAAGATTCTTTGTTCTCTGAATAAAGCAGGAGATCATGAACTGTTGTACCAAGACTGAATTACAAGGGAAACTTAGATATTTTAAGTCTTAGTTGAGAATCTGGGAGACATAGGAAGGGACTTCAGAGCACAGCTGGGACACAACTGTCCCAGTATACTGTGTCTCCCCTGGTGAAGACGTGAAGGAAAGGTTTACAATGGGAAAAGAGAAAGCTTCAGATATGTTCCAGTTGGAGATTGTTGGATGAGGAAGCAGAGAGCAGGCTAATTAGAAGCGAAGGATGTTATGTAATCAGTTTGGGAACATATTTGTCTGTTTTTCTGGTTGGTTTTGAGTTGGAAGCAAAGACAAAAATAGGAAAGCTGGTAGTCATTGACAAAGTCCCAACCATTTTGGGCCAGTTCTGCAGAGGTTGTGGACTGGCTTCTTGTAAATCTTCTCATAGAATTTGTCTCCAACTACATCTAGAAATGATTAAAAAATAATTGATGCATGAGGTAAGATTATCGCAAAGTGGAAATGTGTAATGTTTTATTTTACAAACTACTTGCAGACAGACACCTGCACACATGGACTATTCTCCCTGATACTATTAAAATTAATTTTTCTCTCTGAAATTGCTTGTGTTGTTACAGAGGATCTTGATGATTTAAGAATGGAGGGAGTAACTACTCTGGTACCTTCTGGGAGCAAATTTAACCAAGGTCGTGCTACTCACCCTGCTGAACCTCAGGCCAAGGTCACACTGAACATCTGTTCAAGGTGTGCCAGGTAAAACAATTCATTGGTGTAGTATATATAAATGTGATTTTAATGAAAAAAGCTAAGGTTTTGAAGCAAAGCTTGTAGTTGGTGTAAAGAAAACTTTTCCTTCTAGTTATCTTGTGCTCACATTGGCAGGAGAGTTTATTTTGCCATTTATTGTTGTTCCCAGTGCCACTCAGACCAACAACTAATCAAAGAGTTTAGATTGCCATCGGTTGACAATTTGAGACTATTTTAAGTCTTTCTATTTCTGAATTGCATTTGCAGGCTTCCCTTCCATTCCCTTTCAAAAAGGAAGATTCAAGGGGCTCTAAAAGTTCAAAGCCACTTTCAAAAACACCTGCATAGAGCACAAGTTAGCCCAGGTACAGTCTAAGGTCTAATATTATTGGCCTCTTAGCCTGCTCCTTATCCTCTTCACCTCCTGGAAGGAATTTAATCAGCTTGACGCTTTTCAGTTTTGGCAGCTGGAAGCAATCTTTGCATATACTGTATGTGGCCAAAGAAGTAGCTTAAGTTACTGCCAAGTCAGCTCCCAGTGCTGGTCTAGCAGAAACTCACCCAGTAGCTAGAATTCGTTCCTTTGTAGGAACTAAGTCTCATTTGCAAAGAGGCTCTTAAGCCTGTTTAAATGATAAAACAAGCCTTCTAACCCTTATGTAAATGACTCAGATTAGCAGGAACAATGCGCTGTCGGCCAGTTTTATCTCCTTTCCTTTATGTCTAGCTATTCTATTGTACTGTTTGAGAGGGGATTAGCTCCTTGGAAATGGGGAGGAGGAGAGTGTCGGAAAATCAAATCAGATTTTTGTAGCTTTTCCTCTTTCCCTTTTACCCCTTTGGAACTTTTATTTTAATTGTGCCATAGCACAGTGAGAATACCCATGGAAACATTGCTTCAGACAAGCGATAGTTGGGTGAATTGAGGTTTTGGTTACGGCTGTGAAGAAAACTGGTAATATTTGTGTGATGAGAGTTAGGCACCCTGAGTATACAAGGCCAGGTATGAAAGAGTGGTTTGGCATTTTGAATGAAACCTTTATTTGTCCATTTGTACATCTTGTACACATTTGTCCATTTCCAGTTCGATTGGAGAGGGGTAGGTGCTTGGTTTCTCATGTCATTTGGAGAACATTGGAATGGGAGGTGTTGGTTTTTCAAAAGGGAAATAATATATCTTTAAACTTTTGAGGATTTGAATTTAGAAAGGAGCAAACACATACACAGCCCTGAATTATTTACCATTTATCTTCCGTGTAATAGAATTAGACCATAAATTACAAACAGCCTGCTTTTAAGGTGAGCTCTTTACTGAGTCTATTGAAAAAATATTAAATTGAGTAATCAGTCACATTGCCTTCTCAATATGTAGCAGATACTATTCTAAGAACATTAAGTATGAAAACTCATTTAACTCTCAAATAATGCTGGGAGTTAGTTACTATTATTATTCTCATGTTATAGATAAGGAAACTGAGGGATGAGTTGATTAAATAACTTGTCTAAGGGAACATAGCCAGTAGGTGGCAGTAGTTGCAAACACAGGCAGTATATCTTGACAGCCTGTTTGCTTAGTCATTTTGTTCTATTGCTCAACACCAAGCAATTTTCTGAAGGCAAAGATGGAGGCCAAGATTTAGGTGTTTGAAATGATGGAGCTCTGGATTGTTTTGATGGAGCATAAAGTAATGTACTTTCAAAAGCCAGATAGAGATGTAGTGATTTGGGGAAATGTAGTAACCAAGATACAAGACAGTAGTAGGCTTTTGATTTCTGAGTATATGCTATAGCCAGAGTTTAGAGAGGAAGAAAAACTAATATCAACTGTCAAGAACTATGAAGGACCTGAGATTTTACCCTGTTTGCAATCTAACGTGTTAGTCTGCAGTGTATTATAGATGCACACAGAGGACATGAAACTCCTGGCTCAGAGACCAAGGACTAAGTAAGCACAGTGACAATTGTCAGCATATTAGCATTTCCCCGGATACCGGAGACACAAATCTTGCAGACTGACAGAAGTAGGGCAGTAGGTTGCAGTGTATGAGAGGAACCCTGGGTTTAGGAAACATGAATATTTTACAATAGGAAGTTAGCACTGCTCTAGGGAGAGACTCCCCATCTCTCTTCCAAGGCTGTCTGTTATATAAACATTCCTGAACAGATTGTCTGAAACAATTATCTCCTGGTATTAGTTGCAGTAGACTACTTCAGTAATGCATTGATGCGGTTATCAGAATTTCCATAATTAATTCTAAAGCATCAATTTATGTTGCTGACTCACCTCTCCTAGTTGCAAGTAAGGCTTTTCAGTCTGTGAAAATAATACTTTTTAAGCCAGGGCTGAACAATTATCTGAGGTAGAAATCATAAACTGAAGGACTGTGGGTAGTATCCAGGTTTGTGTGTTCCCATAGTATCTAAAAATACCACTGGATTAGTTACCAATTTTACATAAAAGTTGGGGTTTTTATCTTTTATTCAAAACCCATAAAGGTGATAACACTGGACCCCCATTCTCAAGGGTTATATGCTAGTGGCTTCTCCATGTAGAGCCATAGGCCCGCCAGCCCTGCTTTAGCTCACCTCAGCTTGTCTCTCCACCTTTGCTCATTTATACCACTTGTGTGGAGTCTGGGGGCCCTTGCCTGTAACCCCTGATTTGTAGAAACATTGGGACCCCAGAGATAAACAGTGTATTAGGACTGAGGGGCCTGGCCAGGCCACTCAGAGGATTTGGTGCCCAGAAGAAACAGATCGGCAGGTCGTACTTTCTCAGGGTACTAGGTTACGGGCAGGGATTTATGGTAGTAGCCTGGCTATCTCTCAGAACTCAGAGAGAGTTGATCAGAAACCCAGCCCTGCAAACTAAACCAACATGGAGAAAATGACTGCTTCATTTACAGAACAGTGGTCATTCCCATTGCTCTCTTTGTGGGCACTGCTGCCAACCAGGAAGACACCTGTGAGAGATAATGCAGGCTTCATGCGGAAAGCCAGACTTTGGACTTTGGAACTGGGATCAGGATTTAATTGCAAATCTTACTGGATTGGAAACAGTATGGGGCTGATGGATAAGAAAGTTTAGGAGAATTAGTATTAAATTGTATCATGTACTTACCAAGACCTTTCAGAGCTTTACAACAAAGGCAGAAAGCCGACTGCCTTTTCTGACGTCTAACACAGGGATCTATCTAATGGCCATGTTCTAAAGTACCTCATGTGTTATCTTGGGAAAATTATGCAAATATTCAGAAAATCTGGTGCATCTTTTGTGAAATGGAGCTCATGCAATCCTGGAGATAATTTCTAAGGGGGCTTCAGAACACTGGACAGGAGGATGTCTGGAAATGCAGTGAGTGAAGTGTTAGCAGTACAAGCCTCTCAGGGAATGGGGTTTCCTCTTCTTCTCACTCACTGGGATAATTACCATGTCAACACTTAGGCGGTTTTAAATGCTTTGAGCCGTTTTTCCTCCCATCTTTTTAAGAGGCTTACATGAAAATGCTCAAGTATTGAGGAAAAAAAGAAGCTTGTTTTCCTGTCATTCAGGAACCTTTTCCTGCCTTAGGCTTCTGACAGACTGGGGAGAAAACTGTAGCCCACCATCCAGGATTTCCTGTGTTCATTAAAACAGTGTAAGGTAGAGACATTTTTGTTCATTTGTTGTTTGTTAGAGTGTTAAGGTGAAGGAATCTGGATGTATTGTCATCTTGATGTAGTACTCTAGCCCCAAGATACACTCAACAACCTCAGTGTAGAGTCAGTGAGACTCAAGTGATGTTCAGAGCTTCTGCAAAGAACCCATCAATGATCAAGTTGGGGTAAAGAGGTTCAGTCTACACTTTAGATGGTCATTTCCCTCCATCTCTTTTTCAAATACTGTGACACTCATGAGCTACTTAGGAGGTCACAGTAGCTTGAAGTGAGTGTGCATATGGTATGTCCAGGATGTTTTTGCTCTGTAAAGCTGAGGGTATACAGCCAAAGGCCACAGAGCCCTATGCGTTCAGCACCTGCTTAGAAGACATGATCTATAATGAGACTCATTCACTCTACTGGGAATAATTGAGGGGTATCAGATACCACTGAAGGGACTTCCACTTTAGCAGACATCAGGACAAGGGGAGTTCAGCCACATTAAATTGCTCTATAAGGTTTTATGAGAGACAAAGTGATTAAAATATCACCAATGTCAAAATGTTTATTAATTAGCATAGTTATAAGAAATAAAATCACAGATTTTTAATACATACTTTACAAGTGATTAAAAATACAGATGGATGAAAATTTGCATTTTCAAGCTGTAAATTCTCCAGGGTAGTGTTACTCCCACAATTCTTGGTGACTTTCGTCTGATGTGGACATTGCTGCAATTTGTGTGATTTAAACAGAAATGACATCTGCCGGCAGGTGCAAAAATGATAGATGATAGATATAGGACCACCACTATTCATTAATATGTTAACCCAGAATATCTCATTTCTACCCCTCAAATGATAGGGGGAAGAAGTTATTATAAAACTAAAACTTTAATTAAAGAATTTACTATGTAGGATATAACAGTGTCCTTTTATAATTGGCCATCTTATTCAGTACAAGGTAGAATTTTTAATATATTCACCGAGTGTCTTGGCTTGGCTTTTAATAGGTTCCACTAACATAGCTACAGATCCTTGAATGGTACAGACAAAACAAGGTTCATTTGTTGCCTAGGAATCACACTGTCATATTAACCAAAGAGCAGAGTGTTGGTAGGGCAATACTCCAAATTACCCAGAATTGTCAGAAAAATCTTTATGATTTTAAAAAAATTAGCTTGCAAAATTGTGAGTTTGAAATTAAATTTCTCTATTAAATAGCCTGAATGTTAGTTTTAAGATAACAATTAAAACAAAAATAACAAGGCAAATGCTGATACCAAAGCACCAAATAACTTTATAAGTCATTTTTCTGGAAAGACCACCCATTAATTCTGTCTACTCACTGCCATTCTGAGGAGTTAA